CCCCCCCCGCCCCCCCGCCCCGCGCCTTCCACGACACGCGGTGACCCCGTGCCGGGGACACCGCCCCACCCCCCGGCCCCTGGGGGGATGGCGCGGTGACCCGTGTCCGTGTGTCCGTATGTCTGCCCGCCTCCCGCAGCCGTCCCTGCGCCCGGCCGTGGAGCGGTACCTGCGGGAGCGGCCGGAGGTGGCGATGCTGCTGCGGGGGCTGCTGCGGTGAGACCCCCAAACCCGACTCCATCCTCATCCCAACCCCGACCCCACCCCGACCCCATACCCCCCTCTCCCCCGCGGCCCCATTCCTAACTCTGACCCCCCTCCTCTCCTCCCCGTTTCCAAACCCCAACCCTCGGGGTGGTTCCCCACACCACAATGCTATGGGCCATCCCCACTCAGCCCCACAGAAACCCCCAATGGGTTCTGCCATTCCCACCCCACAGCTTCTTTACCTGCAGATCCCCCCCTTCCCCCCTCTCGTCCCCAAACTCCCACAATCTTTCTGGACCCCTATCCCCCCACCCCACCCTCTCAAACCCCACTAGGGGCCACCTTCCAACCCCACTGCCTTTTGGGGTGACCCCCTTTCCTCCCCACTGCAGGGAGGTGATGATGCGACGGCCCCACAACGTCCTGGAGTTCGCTGCAGGTGGGGGGACACCGGGGGACCCCACAGCCATTAAGGGGACAGTGACAGCCCCGGAGTGTAAGGGGACCCCAGTGGAACAGTGGGGATGGGGGGGACGCATCAGAGGAATGGTGACAGCAGGGCCCAATCCCTTCACAGAGACAGCAACACCCCTAAAAAGGGGGAGCATCTGGGGAGCACCACCAAGGTGTGTGGGGGGGAGTTGGACCATTTAGGGACAGGGACATCAAGGTGTGCGGGGCCCACGATGGGACAGTGGCACCAGGGTGCAAGAGGGCACTGGGGCAACGACACCGAGGGGTGTGGGGGAACTACCTGGGAGCAGCGCCACCAAAGCGCAGGGATCCGTTTGGGGACAGCATCACGGAGCACGGTGCTCCCACCCATTGCAGGGTACTTCACGGACCCAGAGCTGCCGCGGAGGATTCGGGATCAGCTGGGGACCCCACAGCGGCCGCAGTGATGGTGACGCCCTGTGTGACACAGCAGGGACAGGAACCCGGTGCTTGTGGTCCTGTGTGTCCTACAGCAGCGCTGGGGCTGCGGTGCTGTCAGCGCTGTCACTCCACAACCCACTCACCTTTGGAGTCAGCCCCCGAAAATCCCTTTGAGGTTACCCCCAAACCCTGCTGCCCTCTCGAGTCACTTTGTGAAAACCCATTTGGGGTCATCTCCAAATGCTTTGGAGTCAGCCCCCAAACCACGTGCACCACCCCACATTCCGACCACTTTTATTCACTCAGCAAGGATGGGGAGCGATAGGGAACTGCTCCAGCGGGGGATCCCAAATCCCCCCACCCTAGAAGGAGGGGGCTGTGGGTCAAAGCAGCTCGTCGCGCCGCGCCGCCAGCAGTGCTGCCTGCTGGGCCTGCCAGTGCCGGCGCCGCTTCGTCCGCGGCCGCATGAACTCCACCACGTCCATGGGGACCCGCACTGTATCCACCCCATTCACCTGTGGGGTGCAGAGAGGGAGGGGAGCTGAGGAGGCTGGGGGCAGCCCTACATGTTGCTTTTGATGGGGGCACAACCCCCCCCCCCCCACTCAGGGATTTTGGTGTTGCTCCAAGGGGAACCTTACAAAGTGGAGGGGGGAGCAGGGAGTCTCCTCCTCCCCTGCCCCAAAATCCCCAAGGGGACCAAAATCACACTGAAATATTAGACATTCATCCCCCAAATCCCACCAAAATCCCACTGACGTGAGGCAGCTCCATTCCCCAAATACCACTGAGGGGTGGGAACCCCATCCCCTAAATCCTACTGAAATAGTTCAGCCCCATCCCCTCAAATCACACTGATGTGGGGCAGGACCGAGCCCCCAAGCCTGGTGGGAGCACCAGGACACACGCAGCGAGGGAAATGCAGCCCCTTCCCCATCCTCGCCCCCAGTCAGTGCTTCACTTCCAATTATCAGGACCCTAATGAGCCCCATGGCGCTGACACAGATTTGGGGACCTCAGAAACCGAAGGATAACAGCTGATGGCACAGAGGGTCAGCTCTGCGCGTACATAGGTGGCAGGGATGGAATCTGGGTTTTTTTTTCTGTGAAAAACCCCAAATCTTTCCTCCCAGCTTCCCCTCTAGGACTGCAGATTCCTCTCTGGCACAGGTAGGGGGCTCTCCCCACACCTCCCACACTACGGGGCAGGGGATGGGGAGGCTGTGGGGCGCTGTGCACTCACCGTCACGTCACACCAGTACTCGCCCCAGCGGGTGATGGGCTCATCGGGCAGCTTCAGCGCATGGGGCGGCACCGACACCCGCAGCTGCGACAGGTCGGGAGTCAGAGGGCAGCACACAGGAGCAGCGTCCCGCTCCCTTCATCGTCTCAAGGCCTTCGCTGAAGCCCCGTGGCACACGGAGCCCCACCCCGCGCCGTGGGGACGGAGCCCCCGCATCTCTGAGGGCACGACTCACGTTCTTGAGGAAGTGCCGCGCCACGATGTCAGCGTTCAGCTCCCAGCTCACGTTGTTCTTCATGCCCACCTCCAGGCGGCAGCTCCGCAGGAACTGCAGGGTCTGTGGGGCAGGGGGTGGTGAAGGGCAGCGGGCAGATGCAGCGCAGGGGTCGTATGAGGCCAAGGACAACGTGGGGCAGGCGTCAGTGCGGGGGACAGGAGTTGATGTGTAGAGAGCAGAGATCAGCGTGGGGCAGGATCGAGGTGGGGGGTCAACATGGGGCACCCCACACACTCACCCTCTCTCCACTCTGCGTTTGGACGGCCTCCATCTGCCCTTCCTGGCTCTGCAGTAAGAAGAAAACGATCGGGAACAAACCCAACACAGCGGCTCCCCGTGCTCCAAAGCCGTCCCTGCCCCAAACCACCACCCCTTTGCTAACTAACAGCAGTGCGGCTAACAAAGCAGCTCGTTCAGTGGCTCACCTGCTTCTCCTCTTCAAAGAGCTGGCGGTTCTCGGGCGACGCGTACACAGCCAAGCCCTGCGGCAGCAGCCGGTTCCGCCCCACGGATTTCTTCACAGAAACGATGTCCCCACGGCTCCCCAGACCTGTGGGGACAGCAAGGGGCAGTGCCCCACATCCTGCTGGGGGAGGGGAGCCCAGACCCCATCCAAAATCCCACTGAGGCAGCATGTAGAAATAGCAATAGAGGGGAAATGAGGGGAAAAATGAAAATCGGAAGGAAAAGAGCAAAAAGCAGAATGGGGAAATCAGAAATTGAGTGGAAATTATTGTCTGGGCATCTAATTTCCTGCCCAAGCAGCAAGCTCCTACTCAGAGAAGCAGATCTAAAAGAAACCGTGCATTCCTGTTTATGGTGTTTTGTTGGTTGTTTTTCAACGGATCACGTTTTCTTTTGAAAAGAAATAGGGTGCAGGGGGGTGGAAGAGTCCAACCAGCCCCCCGGGGCCTACAGCAGAGGAACAACTCCAGCATCAGCACAGGTGGGGCTGAGCTGCCGGAGGGGAGCTCGGCAGAGAAGGACCCGGGGTCCCGGCTGGCCGTTGGCTGCCCAGCAGCCGGCAACCAGATGAATCCACGGCTGCCCGGCGGGACGCTGCGGTGCCCCCCCTCCGCCCCCACAGCCCCCCGGCCTACCCTCCACCGCCTGCGTCAGGATCAGCTCCAGCTCCCCGCGCGGCAGATGTTTGCTGTCCTCCACCAGCCTGTACACGCGGTACCGCCGGTGCCGGGCGCGGGGCGGCCGCCCCTCTTTGCTGAGCGGCACCTTCCACCACCGCTCCACCACCACCGTGTCCTGCGTGGGGAAACGGGTCACGACGGGAACCCCGCTCCGTTACGGCCCCATTCCCCACCCCCCTCCGAACCCCGTTCGCCTCGCAGACCCCGGAACCGCCCCCGTAACACCTCCCGGGTCCCCCCGACCCTCACCCGCGCATGGCTCAGGCTCAAGGCCCGCCCCGCCGCCCCGAGCAGTAGCCCGCAGCCCCGCGTCCACAGCGGGCCCAACATGGCGGCACCCGGCCCGACCCGAGGACCCAGGAGGACCCCGCACGGGGCTGCCCGCGGCGCGCCTGCGAAGAAAAGCACACGGAGTTGCCCGCTGCGCCTGCGCACAGAGGTCTCGCTTCATCCTCCCCCTCCCCACCCGAGAACCGTGGGGTGTCGCCCTATCCCCCCCTTCCCCCCCCACGCCATCTGTCCCCGCTGCACCGAGCAGCACCGAGCAGCACCGAGCAGCACCCCCTGTGCCCTCTGGACTTTATTCAACTAGGAAACCAAACAGCTCTTCCCCTCAGCAGGGTGAAAACAAGAACCGACCCACAACGATGTGGAGACAACAATGTGAAAGGCACCCCCACGGTGACCACAGCATCACCGACCCAACGGGACACATCAGAAACGAGGCACGAAGGGGCCCTGTGAACACAGCAGTGCCCACATGGCCTCCAGAGAGGGGCTGAGGCATTCCCGGTGAGATCTGGGGACACCGGGGCCGGCTTTGTCTCGTCCGGTGGTTACAGAGGGCAGCTGGAAACCAAAGTTGGTGTGCAGATGAAAGCGGTGGTGAAACCAGCACTGTCAATGCAGGGAGTGCTGTGACACGAGGCAGGCACTTAGCTTCTCGAAGCGCATCCAACACTGCGGCCAGCAAGGGTAGAAACAGCTCTGTGGGGTCCGTGCACACCATCAGCCCCTGTCCCCAAAGCTTTGGGGTCACGTCTGTGTGGTGGCACTGGGCAGCGTCCCTTCACAAAGGGTCATCCCCCTCTGGAGGCAGGGTTGGGCTCGGGGAGTGACATTCCCCCCTTCTGTGCCCCAACTGTCCCATTTCCAGCCCCAGGAGCAGGGAGGAAGCTCTACAGAGAGGACGGTGCGGCTCACCGAGGTCAGAGCATCACAGGGAGCTCCACTCTGGCACTGCGCTGTCACTGCTGCCGGTCACTGCCTGCACAGTGACAAACCCCACAGCAGTGTCACAACCCACACACCCACCCTACAGTGCCATCTGCACAGAGATACGGCCCTACCATGCCACCATGGGGCAGCCATACCTTGTGGGGTTCTGCTCTCCTCCTCCTCACCTCCAGAGCAGATGGGAATGGGGCCAGGGAAGGGGCTGACCCCAGGCTGGGCACTACTGGAGAAGACACAGTTGGTGTAGCGCACGGAGTCGGTGCAGAAGACAGAACCAGAGTTCCCATCGGAGAAGGATGGGTGGCTGCTGGCGGAAAGGGCTCCACTCCAGGTGATTGGACGTGGCGCTTCAGGGGTCACGGAGTGGTGGGCTCCAGGGCCCCCGAGGACTGTGGGGCACCAGGAGCCGGGGCTGGGCTGGGCCTCGCTGTCGTCCCTCTGAGGTTGTGAGGAAGTGGAAGGGCCAATCAGCAGCCCCGGGGCTGGGGGCTCTGCATTGCCCCGGAGCCGCTCGGGGCTCTCATCTATGGGCCAAAGGAGGGGATGGGTCAAGCGGAGCTCAGGTACTGCTTCCCCTGCAGAGCTCAGCCCTGTATCCTGCAGCTCCTGCTGCTGCTCCTCATGGCACCTCAATGGAAGACTGTGCTCCCCAGGGCTCACAGACCCCTTTGGGGCTCTTACAGGTGCCTACACCCAGAGCTGGAAAGAGACAACGTGAGCAGGGGGCTCTGCACGGCCCCCAGTACTGAGCTCAGCACCCGGAGGCCAAGAAGCACAGCTTCAGTGGCTCCCAGGGCCCTGGGGGGATTACCAGCAGCCCCCAGGGGGCATCCCCTGTGTCTCCTTCCACCCCAAACGAGCCCTTTCACACTCAGGGATATTACTGGAATTGGGGTTGGCCCCACAGAGCTCACCCAGCAGGCTGATGCAGGAGAGGGTCAGCGGTGTGGCGCTGGGGCTCGGTGGCAGCTCAGACAGGAGGCTCTCAAGGGAGGTGCACACCATGTCCTCCTGCACACGGGGTTGAGAGGAAGAGCCGTGTTAACTCCACAACGTGGGGTAGAAAGGTGAAGCTCCCAACTCTAGGGATGACCCAAGCCAAAATCTGGGGAGAGAAGAGTTGCCACCAGAGCCCTGCTGTGCCCCGTCCCACTGCAGCTCCGCTCACCGGTGTCTCCACTGCAGCCTCTGTCGCTGGCAGTGGGAATCCACCCCCTGCCTCCTCCTTCTCGTGGGGCTGCAGGGCAGCATGGCCCAGCCGCACCAGCTCGGCCCCGATGTCAAGGCTCTGTGGGGAAATGAGAGGAAGATGAAGGACACCAAACCCTCGTGGGGTGAAAGGAGGGGAGCAGTGAGGCTCGGGACTCACCTCGCCATGACGGACGTCAAACAGCATGATGCGTGGCCATGTGCACAGCCCGGCCTGGGTGTAGCTGGAGATTTTGGCCACCAGTGGCTTCCATTGGGCGCAGCAGGTGAGGCGCTCAAAAGCATCCAGCGCTGCCTCATCCCACTGCTCCTCTGTGGGAGGGCTGAGGGGTGAGCAGCACCAGGAGGGACGTGGGCTCTGAAGAGCCACCCGTGCTCCTCCTGCACTCACCCACAGGCACGATCCCAGCCAGGCTGCACTCGATGGCCTGGAACGGCAGGCTCAGGAAATCGCTCCTTGTGGGGAGAAAGCGGCAGGCTGAGGGCAAGGGCAGCCTGAATCCCGCCTCACGGCCTCGCTGGGCTGCACGCTGCCCTCCTGGGGACATTCCACCAGCCCCGCTGCCTCCTCTCGCCTTCCTCCCACACTCACCGCAGCACTCGCAGAGCCTTGCGGGGCACCTCCCCGTTGTCCCCAAAATCCACATAGTAGAGGTCCAAGTTGCCGTTCTCCAGCATGCCCAGCACCTGGGCCCGGTACCAATTGCTGCTGTCTGCATACGGAGCAGCCACGATGTCCCCTGCCTGCACGGCTGCCAGCTCTGCCTGCGGGGACACAGCACGCCACGTCCTCCAGTGCCAGGAGGGGAGGGGGGATCAGAATGGTGTCCCCTGGGAGTCTCACCACGCAGTTGCTGCCCTCATAGTGCTGCGTCATCTCAGAAATCAGCTTGTCCAGCTGCAGGCTGCGCTCGCCAATGATCTGGATCCAGAAATGGTTGGGGTTTTCGGCGGCTGAGACGTAGACCTCCAGGTGCTCATCTGCGTGGAAGCTAAAATCGGGGCTGGGGACTGCAGGATAGGAACCAGCAGGGGACAGAGGTAGGGGGCAGATGGTTGGACTGGATGATCTCAGTCATCTTTTCCAACCTAAATGGTTCTGTGATTCTATGACAAAGAGGATCCCACCCGAGGACGCATTGTGGAGTACCCTGAATGAGACAGGAGGGAGCAAACCGGAGCCACCAAGTCCTCACTCCCCATGGGACAGTCCAGCACCTTGGGGGGCCTGGTGAGGTGTGGAAAACCTTCTCCCTCCCAGCAGAGATTCCTCTTTGCAACCAAAGGACAATACCAGAACCTCTCACCTTCAAATTTTGGCACCGCTGCCAGCTTTTCCGCTGCCTCACTCCTATCCCACAGTAACTCCACGGCCGCCCCCCCTGGCAGAGAGCCCCCATTCCCAGCACCGTGCTCCTCGCTGGGCTGCAGCAACGCTTCCCTGCGGCTGCCCAGGAGCTCCTTGCGGTGGCTCCGCAGCACCATGGTCTGAGCCAGCTCCTGGCGAAACACTGTGTCCTCCACCAGCTTCTCCATGATGAGTTTCTGGGGGAAAACAAGAGGAGAGCATGGGGGTCTCGTACCATCAGCCCTCTGGGGGGCTGGGAGGCTGCCCCTGCGCTCACCTTGGCTGCATCCACCTCCTGCTGCGTCCCCGAGATCTGGATGAGCCGTGTCGGAGCCAGCATGGCCTCGGCCTGGTGCTGGCACTGCACTTGGGCTCCGGAGCTGCGGCAGATGCTGCGCACCGTCTCACCGCCGTGGCCTGCAGGGCGCACAGAGAACCAAGAGGCAGGGAGGATTTACGCCAGGGCTCTCCTGCCGCGCCCTCCCCCTAAGGGGGGCTGCTCAAAGGGATCGGGGCCGCACCGATGATCCTCCCGACAGCTTTCTGCGGCACGTGGAGCTGCTCCAACACCGGCGTGCTCTCCACCACAATCTGGTGCGCGGCAGCTTTGGCTCTGCACACTTGGTTGGGGGAACCCCAGATCAGCAGCAGCCTCTCCTCACTGTCACCTTCCCTCTCCAGCTCCATGCGGGCCCCCGTCTCCTGCTGCAGCTGCGTGGGGCGCTCCATAAGTCGCCCCCCTAGGATACCTCGCCCCCCTCCCCGCTTCGGGAGCGGCTCTCACCCTTCGGATGGTGCTTCCCTTCCGGCCGATGATGGCTCTCACCGCCGCCCGCGGGACGCGCAGCTCCGCCCGCAGCTCCTCCGCTCCAACGGCGGGTACGTGCAGCTCTGGGGGGCGGGGAGGGGGGGGAGGCGGCCCGGTGAGGGACCGGTGGGGGGGCTTCAACCGGGGGATGCGGAGGAGGTGCAGCCCGGGGGGGAACGCGGAGAGCACAGGGGGGAGGGGCAGAGGGATGGCACGGGGGGGCACGGCTCGGGGGGCACGGAGGGCTCGGGGCACCCACCTCGGCCCTCCCGGTATCGCCGGTACACGATGTAGAGAACGGTGGCCCCGGCGGGGAGGCCCAGCAGCACCGCCACCTTCTGCAGGCCGCTCAGCCCGGCCCAGACGCCCCGCTCTGACGGCATCGCCGCGCCGTTACCGGGCCTCCGGGCTCTCCGGGCTCTTCAGAGCAGCCAGGCCCCACCAGGCCCGGATCCGTCGCGCCGCCACCTCACGCAGCCCGCCGCCGCCTCAGACCCCGCCCCTGACCGCCATCCACCCAATCAAAACCTTCTCTCCTCTACTCCCAGCCAATCAGCGCCCGCCAGGAGATGGCCAATCCGCTCTCAGCACGGTGGGGAAGGGAGGCGGGGCCGAACGCCTGCCCTAGGAATAAAGCGGCCAATCGGCGCCGCCGGCCGGTGCCCCGCAGCCAATCATCGGGCGGCCTGGAGGCAGAACGGACCATTGCGGGGAAGGGGAGTTGCCGGGAAGGGGGGGAAGGGGGGAGGTAAGGGACGTTGCTTAAATCTGGGAGAGAAGGTGCAAGGGCTGGCTGCGGTGGGGGGGGGGGGGGGGGGGGGCGGGGCAAGGGCCCGGGCCTGAGGGCAGCAGGGGGCCCTCAGAGTGGGATCAGGAGAGGAGGAGGTCGAGGGGGTCTCGCGGCGCCCAAAGGCTCATCTGCGTCCGACTCGTGACGTCCTGCAGCCCATCGTGGCACCCCGGGCCCCTCCCACCCCACATATCAAACCATCGCAGCCCCAGCACTCTGGAAGACGCCGTTCCCTTCAGCACACGTTTTATTTGCTGCCATGACGCCGGGGGGCTCGCAGCCTCCCCTGCAGCCTCCGGAGGGCGACGCAGCACCCATGGGTGCCCCCTGGATAAAGCGGGGGGGGAAGGGGGAGGAAGGCGGGGCTCAGCGGGGAGCGGGAGATTCCGGCTCGGGGGCGAAAAGCTCCCGGTACAGCGGGGGGAAGGCGGCGAGCGGCGCGGCGGGGCGCAGGCGGCGGAAGGTCTGCAGCTGCTCCACGTGCTGAGAGCACAGCGCCCGCAGGCGGCCCGGCGGCGGCAGCTGGGGGGACGACGACGAGAGTGGGACCCCCGTAGCACCACGTGTCTGATGGCACCCAGCCACGGCACCCCAATGCCCCGGACACCAATCACACTCCGTGCCCCTTGACACCCCGATGGCACCCGGCGCCCTGCAATGTCCCTCAGCACCCCAACAGCGCCTCAATTGCCACGGAAACCCGCTCCTCATGAAACTCCATATCCCAAGGATTCCATGCCTCCCATCCCATGGCACCCATGTCCCATGGCACCCCAGTGGCACCCCTATGGCCCCACAACCCCTGGCACCCTACACTCCACGTCCCAAGGCACCCCAATGACACCCTAATGACTGTGACACATCATGGCAGCCCACATTCCACGGCACCCCATGGCATCGCACAGCACACCATGTCCCACAGCACCCACACCCTATCCGCTGTGCCCCCCCCCGTGTCCCCACCCTGGCCAGCAGCCCCTCACGCTGCGTCCTGCGCAGCAGCAGCCGGAAGGCCACCTCCAGGCGTCCCTGCAGCCGGGCCACCTTCCCTGGGTCCTGCAGCCATGGGCGGGCTGGGGACATAGACACTGCACGTGAGGTTGGGGAGGGATGGGGATGAGGACAGGATGGGGACATGGGCAGGGATGGGTATGGTCGAGGATGGGGACTGTGGATGGGGACAGGGATGGGGGGAACATGGATAGGGACGAGGACAGGATGGGGACAGAGACGGCCAGGACAGGATGAGGTTGGTGCAGGGCTGATGATGGGGACAGGATCATGGGATGGGTACAGCAGTGGGGACAACGGGACAGAAAAGGGGACAGCCCTGGGGACAGCACATGGGGCTGTCAATGGTGGCATCCACTGGATGGCACCAGAGATGGTAGCACACGATGGAAACACCCAGCCCCACCACCCAGCACCCACTCTGGGATAAAACTTGGGCCGTTTGGGCACACCCCAAGGGGGGACGGGGGACAGGGGTGGCATGTCCCTCACCAGCATTGACGAGGACAATGGCGCTGAAAAGGGCCACCTCCCCCTCTGAGAAGCGCAGAGCACAGAGGTTCTGTGCAAAGTCGAAGATGGAACCGATGAGCTCGGGGCAGCCTGTGGGAACCCTCGTTAGCAGTCCCATAACAAGACGTCTCCACGTCCCCAGCGTCCCATTGTCCCAAGCCCTACCCAGCGACCTGAAGAGCTCAGCGCCAGCGTACTTGCCCTCGAAGAAGACGGTCCGGTTGTCAGGGTTGAAGGCCCGGCACATCCACACCAGCACCACCTCCATGGCGCCTGCCATCGCCACCGGGATGGGGACAGCGAGGGTGGCACCGGGACGGGCCCCGCAGTGCAGCTTGGGGCTGAGCTTGTGTCCCTGCGGCACCAGCCCTCGGGGACTGCCACCTCCCCAGTGGGGACCCCAGGGGACTGTCACCCCCCAGACGGGCATCCATGGGACTGCCACCTCCCCAGGAGGACCCTTGGGACTGCCACATCAGCGCGCTCAGAGCAGTCCTTGGGGACTGTCATTTCCCCAGTGGAACCAGAGCACCCCGTAGGGGCTGCCACCTCCCACTGGGACCGGGGCATCCCATCGCTGTGGGGCTGGGGACAGGGGAGCAGGGACAGGGGATAATGACAGGGCACAGCCCCGTACCCGCCTTGAGGAGGACGATCTGGTCGTTCTGGCAGAGCTCCATGAAGCCACGCAGCCGCTTAGCAAACTCCACCACGCGCTGGATGGCCTCGGTGAGCCGGCACGCGCAGCGCTGCCACATCTCCTCCGGCGGCTGCGGCACCCCAGGATGCATCCCCAGCGGGGTCAGAGCTGTCCCTGGGGGCTGTCAGCTCCCCAGTGGGACCTTCGGAGACCGTCACCTCCCCAGGGGCTCAGAGTGGCCCTTAGGGATCGCCACTTCCCCAGTGGGAGCCTCGGGACTGTCACACCACCTTAGTGGTTCCCACGGGACTGCCACCTCTCCAGTCAGACCCACAGGATTGTCACCTCCCCAGTGAGGTCAGAGTGGTCCTTGGGGACCGTCACTTCCTCAGTGGAACCCTTGGGACTGTCACACATCCTTAAAGGGACCCCTGGGGACTGTCAGCTCTCCAGTCAGACCCTGGGACTGCCACCCCCCAGTGGGGACCCGCGATGCTCCCTCACCTTTTTCTGGAAGGCGCAGACCTCCTCGAGGCTGAAGGTTTCCCCGCGGCGCAGCTGCAGCTCCTCAGCATGCAGCTGGCACGTCTCACGGTGAGATGCCAGCACGCTCTGTGTGAGCAGCTCTGGGGGACGTGGGGACATCATGGGGACATGGGGATGGGAGGGGACCGAGGACACGGTCCCCAAGGTGCCAGGTCCCACTGCCAACTGCGAATGGAGCCAGGTCCCACCAGAATGTGGCACCCATGGGTGACGGAGCCAGATCCCATTAGTGCTGTGCACCCACGGGTGATGGAGCCTGGTCCTGAACCCATTGAGCACCCGCAGGTGACACGGTGATGTCCCCCCACCCTCAAGTAACCTGGGTGACCCTGTGCCACCGCCGCTCACCGATCTCCAATGCAGGTGACTCCAGGATGCTCCCAACCACGGGGTGGGGGCACACACCAGGACCGTCCCCATCTCCGTCCCCGTCCCACGTGGCCATCTCCTTCCGCTCACTCTCCATTGTAACACTGGGGCACCCCGGGCTGCTGGGGGGCAGTGGGTGGCCCCGGCAGCCCGGCAGCCCTATGGTAAAGCTGGGTGTGCCTTGGGCCGTCCGCTCCCAGTCCTGGTCCCGGTCCCGGTCCCGTCGCTGCTGCTCCAGTTGCTGTTGCACCTCCGCATGCAGCCGGTCCCGCTGCTTCTTAGACATGCGGCCAAACTTGACGGCTATGGGGCAGGCGCACACGCGTGTTCAGCCATGTTCACGTACAGGACACACGTGTGGCTTTCGGGCTGAGCCCACCGGGTGTCCCCAAAGGGGTTATGGGGCACGGGGCAGTGGCACTTAATGTTACTGTGGGGGTGTCCAAGGATATGGGGGGCACCGGTGGTGGGAGGACCCATTAATGAGGGCTGCATGCAGTGATATTGAGGGGCAGCCAGTGACGGGAGGCGGCCCATAATACGGGAGCGCGCGTACGGATGGAGGGGGGGTGGAACCTGGTGATAAGGGGTGCCCTGGGTGATATAGGGGGTGCACCCATTGATGCGACAGGTACACCCAGCGCTGGGAGATGGGGGGGACAATCCCAGTGGTGGGGGGGGCACTGCAGCCACGAGGTGAGGCAGGGGCACGAACCATCACGGGACATGCCGAGGCGGAGGCACTTCTGCAGGCGGCAGTGCTGGCAACGGTTGCGGCTGGCGCGGTCGATGGGGCAGTTCTGCTGGCGGCTGCAGGCGTAGCTCAGGCTGCTCTGCTGGCTGCGCCGGAAAAAGCCCTGCAAGGAGGGGGACGAGGAGGGCGGTCACCCACCTGAGACCCCCCAACCCCAACTACCAACCTCCCCCCCCCACTTCTTCCCCCCAGCGCTCACCTTGCAGCCCTCACAGGTGATGACGCCGTAGTGGATCCCCGAGGATTTGTCCCCACAGATCTTGCAGGGGATCGCCTCGATGTGGGCTGTGGGGTAGGGGGGGAATTTGGGGGTCAGGTCCTATGGGATCCCCCAGCCGCTATGGGCTCACAAGGTCCCTGCAGAATCTCATGTTTCCAAAATGTCCCTATGGGACCTCATGAGCCCTATGGGCTCACAGGGCCCCTATAAGATCTCTGGGCTCCTACAGGCTCACAAGGCAACTGTGGGGCACCTATAGGCTCACGGTGCCCCTATGAAATCTCACAGGGTCCTTATAGGACCCCACGTCCCCTGTGGCCTCACGTGTCCCCACAGCTCACGTGTAATCTTCCTAGTTCCTGTGTCCCCTCACATGTCACCTGTGAGAACCGCACGGACCACGCGTGGTGCCTGTGATGTCACACGGACTGTGGGACCTCACATGTCCCATGTGTCACCACAGGACCTCACGTGTCACCTGCAGGCTCACCTGCTGCCCAGACAAGCTCTCCAAGACCCTATAGGCTCACACAGAGTCCC